GGGGACATCTGCTCAGTGCTGCTCATCTCGCTCCTGTGGCCAGGTCGAGTTAAGAGAATAACCTGTTCGCCACCTTGCCTCCTTCCCGCTTCTATCTTGCCTCCCCCCCCCTTTCCTATCAGGTTAATAAGGCTGCTGGAAAGGAAGGGGGGTTGGGGGTGGAAGGAAAGGGGGGTTACAGGAGGAGGGTGACATGATCGCTCTGCCATATAGGCAAATAACGACAGGGAAAGGTGGCAGATACATTGTAAGAACAGTACATATATCAATATTAGGGTCTCTCAAGTCAGATCGCAGGAGTTCTGCATTCAAGGGAAGGCTGTGGGGCATGCTGAGTGCGCAAACCGACGTGAGCAAAACCTTCCTGGCTTTACTGCTCCGGGGGTACATCTTTCTCGAGGACCAGGGGTTCTTTCACGTCCAAACGGCAACTATCAAAGATTTTTATTATTATTATTGTTTATTGCTTTGTGGGTTGGGTTTTTTTCCTTGTTTTTGTTTGTTTGGTTTTGGGTTTTTTTTTGGTGGTTTTTTTTTTCCAGATTGACACTTTTGCGCAGTTGGCAGAACAGAGAAATAAATAAATACATACATACATGCGTGGAAAGCTTTCCTTTTCCGCTGTGTTCTCTGCAGGCTGCGCCTTTGGGTGCTCTAGGATTTGTATATGCAAGTGTCTATAACACCCACACATATATAGACATGCAAATACACACCGGGGCGCATGTACATATTTGTATCTATATCTATATAAATATAGATATGTATATTTCTATATAAATCTCATGTATTTCGATTCATGATCCAGCTTTCAGGCAGGCTATCGAATGAGAGCATCCTGTGCTGCCGGCCAGCGATTTCTCAAACATTTACTGTGTGTTGTTACCCGTTTGTAAAGCTTGTGAGATGAGCTGAACACGTGTGGTTAAACCACCGGACCCAAAGCAGCTCCGAGATTATTTGTAATTAAACACAATTCCCAAAGTAACATTTATCCTCCCGAAACTGCGATTGCAATTGTCAGCCGTCTGGAGGAGACGCAGGGTAATCTGGAAGCATTACCTCCTCTCCTAACAGAGCAGAATGAAAAGAAATCAATACCGCTAAGGGGAAGAATTTAGTAGATTTTAAGTGTAAGCGGTGCCTGGGAGAAAATGATATATCATATGAAAACCAGAAAGCAGTTTAAAGCTAGTCTAGGAAGGATCAAGGACCGAAGCTACAGGCTCTGCAGCCGAGGAGGGAGCTCCGCACTCTGCACCGCCCGGACCGTGAGTTCGGCCAGGGTGCTCGATCTCCTTCCGGCGCCTCCCGGTACTTACATGAGCGCTCACGAACCGCCGATGCGTGCGCAGAGATAACACCGGGGGGGGGGGGGGGGGGGAGGAAGAAGAGAGGGAGGGAGAGAGGGAGGGTAAGGGAAAGGGGGGGGGGGGGAGGGTGCAGAGCTAAAAGGGGAGAAGAAGTTAAAAACAAAAGATGCGGGTCGGATCTGAGCGCGCACCGGCGATGTAAACAGGGAGGGTGTGAAGGTGCCTTTTCCTCTTCCTCCCCAGGCACGCACACACCAGCCTGTGCACAGTGGCTTCCCGGGCTAATCTAATTATAGGGACCTTGCAGAAGCGCAGCCAGCTTGCTGCTTGTTTGTTTTGTTTTGGTTTGGTTTGGTTTTAGTTTGTTTCTTACACAGGCCCAGACAAATATATAAATAAAAGCCGAAAGACACCGATGTGAATCCCCTCGGCCGGCTGGGAGCAGGCAGGTCAGGATGTGCCCTCGCCAAAGTAGCTCAGAGAGGAACCGGGGGCGGGAGCAGCCGGGCTGGGAAACACGGGGAGCCTGGCAGTTAGTGGGTACCTGGAACGGGCACATTTGCAGTGATGGAAGAAATAAAGCCGGTAACCTACATAGCGATAGACGCAGGCATCCTCGCATGGACACCGTTTGCTGCCGCCGGCGGCACTGGATGCCCGGCTGCGAGCCCGGGCCAACGAGACTACCCAGTGGGGTAGTGACAGAATCGTCCCAGGTAAACCACAGCAATGCAGAGGTGCCAATGGAGGTTAAAAACCGGCTTTAGTCACCGTCTTTGCTTAGTGACCGCCAACCATCGCACGGTCCTTGCTAACAGATGGCTATTTTGTTCCATTTACGTGCTATTCTCTTTTTCTCTCTCCGTCCAAGCCGAGCCCTCCTGCGCCTGGAGAGCTTGTTGTCACCCCTCGGTAAATCTCCCCGGTGACAGCCTCTAGGCGAAGGTGGCGCGAGGCCCCAGGCGAGGGGGTCACCTCCCAGACCCCACACCCATACCACCCCCCCTAGCGTCAGCGGGCGAGGTGGGGCGACCTCGGGGGAACGCAGCGTTTGACAACGCCCGGGGAGGGCGAGGGCAAGGCCCCCAACAGCGGGCTTCACGTTCAGACCCCGGGGACAGAAGCGGGAGCCGAGGAGGCATAGGCTGCAGCAGGCTCGACGCGTGTGACAGAAAATTGGCTCAAGGGTGGCATAAAACGCGCTCCCTGGCTTATCCTGACATTCAGCACACGGCGTGCTCAGCACTCAGCTTAATCGTCCCAGCTATGGCTTTTCAAATAGCACAGACCTCTGTTTCCCCAAATAGAAACCCCACCCCCCCTACACCCCGGTAAAGCTGCTTGCAGACAGGCGAAGACCCCTGATACAGCGCTCTATCCGTCTCTGTCTGCTGGGCGGCCGCAGCGCGGAGGGTCGGGGGCTTCTCCGAGGAGAATCCCCACTCCCCCGGCAAGGCTAGCGACAGCTATTCTTGTGGCTGAAGTTCTGAGATTGCTAACGTACATTGTAGACACAAGATGTTAGGTAGACTTGAGGAAGTTATTCCCAGGATGTAAATTAGGTCCCAAAAGCTGTTGTCCAAATCGAAGAAACAGAGAAATTAATCTGGGAGCCTATCCATCATAGCCTGTAATAAAGGGAGTGACATGGATGAGACAGATGATATGATTAAGGAGCTGTGGTCGTTTTAATTAACTTTTTGCTGTCCTGTAATGATCAAACTGGTCAACAGACCCGGTCAATAAGCATGTTGATATCAAACAAATAAAACCAGGGATGATTAAAAACCTCCTGGTTTATTAAATTTGAAATTCAAATGAAATTTATGCTGCAGATGCATACAGAATGCTAATAGATTTTAGCTTTATTGAGAGTGGATCCCACAGGTTTTCAAGAAGCAGCACGAACATTTATCTACTCCCTTACATTAAACTTCAAATGGGGGGGGGAGGGAGTTTCAATTAATTTCGGGCAAACCTCTCCTCTCTGATCCTCCCCAGCCCCCCACCTGCATATTATGTTAATGTACTACACCCTTAAGTGCAGTGGTCAATAACGCAAATGCAAACAAAATTGTACGCTTCCTTAAACCCTTTGCGCAGCAGGCAATGTATACAAAGCGGGAAGGTTACAAATGTTACTGTAGCGATTTCAGGGAAGACCAGCTCACTGCTAGCAAAGTTGGGAAGCCGCTGATTTTCCAGGTTGAGAGGAATTATCAGAATAACAGGAGAATGCCACTGACAGGACTTTTGTGACTTTTGTTCGGGTCTGATATGTTTGCCTTTTTTCCTTCCTTCCTCTTCGCTGAGTTTACCTGTACGGACTCCCACGACTGTTTTTACAACGAGTTTTTCATAGTTTCCAACACGGTGCTTTTAAAGGAAAAGATCACTGAAAATTAAGGTCTTTCGGCCCCAAATCAGAAGAGTCAGGGCAAGCATCAGAGCAAACCACAACCAAAAAGATCAAGGGCCACGTTTCCTCTGGGCAGGCAAGTTCATGCAAAATGCGAACGCGACTGGAAGACCCACCCGGCGAGGCTTTCCTTAAAAGAGATATATCCCTAACTCCTGTTCCTTCTTCGGAGGATGGCGAATTCGCTCAGACTTTCTGGGGCTGAAAGGAATGCATGTCGATCTTTTTACCTAACCTGGCACACCACAAAATGTGATTTTCTATCCCTCTAAAATCTGATGCTCACGATGCTTGCTCTTACACTTTCTGATCTATGTCTTAATAGCTCCTCTTCACCTCCAGCAGATAAAGGAAGTAGAGATTAAAAGTTAATAAGCATTCATACAAGGGAGTATCTCCGGGAAAAGTTCTTCCCCTCTTCAAAGGGGATAGTATTGATTAAATTAAACTCGAAATTTAAACAAGTGTGCATTAGGTCTGTAAAATGAATATCATTACAGAAGGAGACCAAAGCAATGAAGTTAATTCTTTTTTATTTGTTAAAAGGAGTTCCCTCCTTCCCCCCACCCCTTCCTCCTTCTGGGCTGGCCTGTCACGCCTTCTCAACAGGCTAAAATCATTCAGAGGAGCTCGCGGAGAGAAAACGCGACATTTATGGTAACCGCCAGCCTTCAGAGAAAGCAAGCAGTTCATTAATTTACTTCACTCTTACTTCAAAGTATGATAATATACGTTACCCCCTTGATCAATGGATATGATGGGCAGTCAATATCCCCACGACACGGGAAAGGGTCAAGCCCGAGGCCGAGAGAAGAAAAAAATCACGCAGCATAAAGCGCCGTGAGGAATTTTGCTGCGGAAAACTCGCGGGTGAACGCTCTTAGGCGAGCGCGACCGGAACGGGTTGACCCCAGCTGGGCAAGGAGCCGAGGGGAAAGAAACGCTCACCTCCCCACCCCCCGGGGCGAGGCGGCGGGGTCGACGGGTGCCGCTCTGGTGGGCTCAGCCGGGGACGCGCTCCTGGGGGAGGGGACGGGGAGAGTTGTGCGACCTCGCCACTGTGAAACGGCAGGTCTGAGAGGGCCGAGGGGGCCTGAAGTGTGTGTCCCCCGCTCCTTGATGCTACAAGTACCGAAAAGGCACCGGGTGAGGGGGGGACCGGGACCGTGGCCCACGCTGCTCGACGACGTTCCCGGTTCGGTGGGGCTCGACGGCGCTGATGACCTCACGCAGTCACGTCGTCGAGTGAGGCGGCGGTCCCAGGGATTGGCTGTCGGGGGCTCAGCGGCACTTCAAAGCCGACGAGGGAGCTACAATTGTGGTGGAATGGGCGGAACTGATCATTGTATTGCACACCTCTAAAAAAAAACACTGCCTCTGATTTATCAATATAAAAAAGATCCTCTCAGAGGAGGGCACTTTTGTGTGATGGCAACTTCACTTCTAGGGGTGAGTCTAAGGATTTTTTTCTCTTGCTGGTTTAATTGGTTTCTTTTTATTGTCGATTGGAGGGGGTTGAAATAACCCCTGTCTTGACCGGGGCTATCAGTCTCTTCTATTCAGCCTTCTTTTTCTTTTTCTTCTTCTTCTTTTTTTTATTTTTTTTTATTTTTTTTTTTTTAACTTAAGTACAAGTGAGTTTAGGAGAAAAGAAAGAGCGGGGGGGGGGAAGGGGGCAGAGTCACTTTCCAGTGAGCAGGAAAAAGGGTTTAAGGGCATTTTGTAGAAACAACCCACAGTACCTAGGCTGTGCTGTTCCTGTGCTCCGGAGAAGTGGCCTTTCTTCTTCACATGTGGCTGCTGGAAGAAAAAAAACCAACCAACAAACAAGACCCAAACAAACAAACAAACAAAAAACCCAACAAAATCCAAACCAAACCCAGCACTATAATTTTGTGTGTGTGTGTATGTGTGTGTGTGTGCATTTTCTAATTTGCATCAGATTGTGGCTTTTTTATTTCCCTTTAAAATAACACAGCCAGCCGTGTCCAGCAGGTACGTTGAACTCGTGTATACATGTACATATGTTAAAATTATATATATATTTAATTGTCGTTGGTACGTAAATGAGCCTTATTTTAAAGATTTTTTTTTTTAAGTGTTAAATTGATAATCTCAATTCTATATTTAAGAAAACAGTCTCATTGGCCTGAGGGACGGGGACCGGCCAGGTTCCGGTCACAGGGAAAAGGCTGAAACGTAGCTGCCGCCGTGCCGGGGGCATCTTTAAAGCTACGGTAAACGGCACAACTTTTCCCCCCTCTCTTCCCCCCCTCCCCCTTTTTTTAACCCTTCCTGAGCTCCTCCGTGGGAGGAGGGTTGAATGGTGACAAAGAGCCCCGGAAGGCACTCGGCGGCAGAGCTGCGGTGCCGGCTTCGGCGAAGGGGTCCTCCCGCGGAGTCACGAAACTTTGTGCCAGGAGCCGGGCGGCGGAGCGGGATGGGGCACGGGCGGCGGGAGGCGGCGGTGGGTCCGCTCCTACCCTGACGCAGACGGGGCGGCCCTTTCCCCTCTGTGCCCGCAGGAGGAACCGCGGGTAGGCTCCACGCCGCTGGCCATGCTCGCCGCGACCTGCAACAAGATCGGTAGCCCCAGCCCCTCGCCATCAGCCCTCTCGGACAGCACGTCCTCCTTCGGTAAAGGCTTCCACCCCTGGAAACGCTCCTCCTCCTCCTCCTCGGCGGGCAGCTGCGGCGCCGTGGGCTCCGGCCTCCCGGGCTTCGGCGTGGCGGGCGCGGCTCGCAACGGCTCCTCGGCTGCGGCAGCAGCGGCCGCTCTGGTTTCGGACTCGTTCAGCTGCGGCGGCTCGCCTGGCTCGAGCGCCTTCTCCCTTACCTCCAGCAGTGCGGCGGCAGCCAGCTCGCCCTTCGCCAACGACTACTCCGTCTTCCAGGCTCCGGGCAGCGCCGGCGGCGGCGGCGGAGGAGGCGGCGGCGGGGCGGCGGGACAGGAGGCGGCTGCGCACCAGCCCGTCTTCATCTCTAAAGTGCACACGTCGGTGGAGGGGCTGCAGGGCATCTACCCACGGGTGGGCATGGCACACCCCTACGAGTCCTGGTTCAAGCCCTCGCACCCGGGGCTGGGCGCCGGAGAGGTGGGCTCGGCGGGCGCCTCCAGCTGGTGGGACGTGGGCGCCGGCTGGATCGACGTGCAGAGCCCCAACGGGGCGGCGGCGCTGCCCGGCTCGCTGCACCCGGCAGCCGGCGGGCTCCAGACCTCGCTCCACTCGCCGCTGGGCGGCTACAACTCGGATTACTCGGGCCTGGGCCACTCGGCCTTCAGCAGCGGCGCCTCCTCGCACCTCCTCAGCCCCGCCGGGCAGCACCTCATTGACGGATTTAAACCGGTGCTCCCCGGCTCCTATCCGGACTCGGCCCCCTCGCCGCTGGCCGGCGCCGGGGGCTCCATGCTAGGCGGCGGCCCCTCCACTCCTCTGGCCGCCTCGCCGCGCTCCTCTGCCCGCCGCTACTCGGGCCGCGCCACCTGCGACTGCCCCAACTGCCAGGAGGCCGAGCGGCTGGGGCCGGCAGGGGCCAGTCTGAGGCGGAAGGGGCTGCACAGCTGCCACATCCCCGGCTGCGGCAAGGTCTACGGCAAGACCTCGCACCTGAAGGCGCACCTGCGCTGGCACACGGGCGAGCGGCCGTTCGTCTGCAACTGGCTCTTTTGCGGCAAGCGCTTCACCCGTTCCGACGAGCTGCAGCGGCACCTGCGGACCCATACGGGAGAGAAGCGCTTCGCCTGCCCCGTCTGCAACAAGCGCTTCATGCGCAGCGATCACCTCAGTAAGCACGTCAAGACCCACAGCGGCCCCGGCGGCGCCGGTGGCCCCGGAGGCGGCGGCCCCGGCGGCGGCCCCGGCCCAGGCGGAAAGAAGAGCAGCGACACTGACAGCGAGCACAGCGCGGCAGGCAGCCCGTCTTGCCACTCCCCGGAGCTGCTGCCGGCCCCCGAGCCCGGCCACCGCAACGGCCTGGAGTGACGGGCGGAGGCGCGGGGCCGCCGCTCCAGCCCCGGCCCGCCGCCTCCCCGGGCGCACAGGCTCCCGGCGGGGACGCGAACACGTAAGTAGCCGGCGCGGCTCCGCAGGTGAGACCTCAGTTCCCCGCGGCAGCCCCGCTGCCCTGCCGGAGCCCCGCACGGGATGGGCGGTGCAGCCGAGCCCGCGGCGGGGCAGGGGGCTGCTGGGCAAGGGGCGAGAGCCGAGGACACCCGTGGGGCGGCCCAGTGCCGCCTCCCCTTCGCCTAGAGATACCCCCTTCGGGTTGCATTTAGAGCTGAAAAAACCCACGTTCCTTCCCTCTTTCCAGCTGGAAACTTGCTCGCCCCCCCTCCCTCCACCGTCAGCGCTGGTAAAGCAGGGGTGCCCTCAAGCAGCAGGAGGGAGAACCGGGCCTGCCCCACGGCTAGGGCACCGACGGCATCATCCGCCGGCCGCAGTCGCGCTCTCGCGCAGCGCCGAGCGCAGCCTCAAAGCTATCCCCCCCTCGTACACCGCTTAAAGCCCCTTTGCTTTCCGGACTGGAGCGGCAGTGCACCCTCCCTCCTTTCCCCCCTCTCCCCCCACCTTTAATTTTAACGAATCGTTTACCTCCCCGAGCTCAAATTCGTATCATTCCTATTTGAGTAGGAATCGCGAAATACTCTGAAAATAATAGGTTGAAAGTAGTAGATTTTTAACTCCACCACATGAAGAAGCACCGTGGGTTTCAAGCGAAGCTGTAGTTCCAATGCCAAAAAGGGAGGCCGGGAGGGGGAGGATAGGAAAACAAACTATTTGTAAAATACGTCTGAACCTTTAGGTTTGTACAACTGAGGAATCGGTTTAGACTAGCTAACAATTTAATACAACTCCACCTATGTATCGGTGTGAGGTGCAGTTGTCCAGGAGACGATTTTGTATAGTATTTTTCTTGTAAATGACTTCCAGTAAATATTTGAAAATATATTGAAGTACACTTGAGCTTTTTACTTTGTTATTTTTTTGTTTGTTTGTTTTTTTGTTTTTTTTTTGTTTGTTTTGTTTTGGTTTTTTTTTCTCCTTCCTGTCACGAGAAAGCATTACTGTCGCAGTCCTGGTTCACTGCATTCTTTTTCTGGACTCGTTCCTTGAGGCGTACGTCAAATCGCACTTCAGGATATAGGTTTTGCTTAAATATTAATTTAGGTAGGCATACAACTGTAATTAAGTAAACAATATTTGATAAATGTTGAATGACATTTAATTTAATGGAGCATGTACTTATTTGCATTTGCTGGCAGTTCAGGTATAGTTACAGTGAGAGTTCTCCTATATTTCATTAAGTGGGTTTGCCACAACCCATGTATTAAATAAACTGTCCAAGTGAAACTGAACTAACTTTGGCCTATGTGTATTTCCTGAAAATAATATTGATCAATATTAATAAACACTCCTGACACTACATTAGCAGTTTGCAAGGCTGCAAACTAATTGTCTCATTGTAATGTTGAAATAATTTGGATATTTCACATTGAAATGGAAAGCCCTTCGCTGGAACATTTTAGATTTGCATTTTAAATGCATGAAATGTAATTGATTTTTATCTGTAATATTTTAAATGGTATTAATAAACTCCAGATAAAACATTCTACCTTAGGTCAGCCAGTTGTTTTTCTTCGTTTTAGTTCCACCGTTACAGGCAACGATTTACTTTGTACTCCTATGTCATGAAGTGTTCTTTAGGGTGGAGAAAAGTGAAAATACAACGAATTCAGTCCCTTTGGAAACTCTAGCTCCTAATGACAGCAGCTGTGAGGCATCAAAGTAAGTAAGTTGGCATTCTGTCGTGCTTTTTGTAATGCAGTAGTAGAGGAAACTAAGGAAATAATAATAATAATACTAATTATTATTAGTATTATTATTATTAAGATTCGTACCTCTTGCAAAATCAAGTCGGTATGATGGGGCTGCTTTGCATGTGCCTCCTCCTTGGACTTAATTCTTCACACTGTGCCAGATCCACACTTAAAAGCGATTTAATACTGAAATGGGAAGGGTTATCATTGCTCGTAAAGGCAAAACCAGCACTGGTCCGCCGCTTTTGTTTTCAGGAAAGGCGTTTGTGGCTGGGGGCAATGACAACTGCCGTGGTGAGCGCTAACTTCTGCGGGTCTTGGCGGTGGGAAACTTCGTGATTGTGTGGGGAAAGCTCCCGGCTACTCCAGGGGGATTTTCCCCGCGGAACTGGGAATCTGGGCTCTTTCCAGGGCCGCGGGGTGCTTCCACCCAGCCGGGCAGGCTCTGCCGCCAGTGCTGTGTCCTTGAAATCTTGTCCAGGGCTGTTCCTGAACAGTAAAAGGCTTTCCTAAGACCTGGCTTCTTTTGCAGTTACAGCATTTATTTAGCGTTCTGGCAAAAAAATCCAAACCAAACAACCCAAATCCCACTAACACTTCTTCTTAACACATTTTTTAAAATTATTATTTTGGAAAGGTGGGGTGTGGGGAGGAGTGGAGGACACAGGGCAAATGTTGTTCCTATTCAGAAATCTGGCCTCTTGAATTACACGGGGTGGCTATGCTAGCATCGGGATACTGAAAAATCAGGGCTAGAGCATAGAATCTGCATGGCAGAAAGACCTTTGTTGTGTACATGTAAAGCACATTATTAGTAATGACCTAACCAGCAGGTGTTAAAAGGTGGTGCAAAAAAGTGCGGACAGTCAACTGTAGCGCATTTGAGATTTTAGTTCTCTGGGTGGTGTAGGGACTAGAAGGGGCTTTTAACGTGCACTGGAAATAAGAGTAGTTCTGATTGAGTTTTGCTGCATTTTGTTTCATTACAAATGCAGCCCTCAGAGGCCTGTGAAGTTTCCTACCAAAACAAAGCAACAGTTTGCTTTCCCATTCTCCCCTTTCTTTTTCTTTTCTTTTTATTTAATTTTTTATTTATTTAACACCATGTAAATGGGGTTCCATGCCAGCACCTGGTTTCCCCAGTGGGAACAAGAAACATCCTTTAGTTACCTGGAAGTTTCAGTCCAGATGGAACTGGCTGAGCACCAAGTGAAGAGGAAACGGAGAGGTGGGTAACTCCCAGTACTTCTTCTCTGATATCCAGCTGAAAATGCTACCAAAATGCCACTATCCACGAGCTCGATGGTTTCTTTAGTTTGCAGTTTGCTAGTGGGATAGAGCCAGTGACAAAACTTACCCTTCCTCCAGGAAGGAGTGTGTGCTTCTGCTGCTCAGGAGCTGCCGGTTTGGACCTGGGCTGTGTGAGAACACGTATTTTTCTTTTACCAGGAAACCCCAGCACTTGAAGGCTGAATAGCCACCTTTTTTAGCAGATTTACTTTTACTAAACCCTTCCAGATAAGGGCATTGAGTTGTTTGATAGGAGCCGGGAACTTGTCTCTGCGTTGTGTGGATCAAGGTAGAATTAAACTAGTTTGCTGACCCATGGGTCAAACTGGTGTCCATCAACTTTACCTTCCAAAGGCCTTCAGATGATTGTGGCCCCTCCTGTTTGCTCTCTGACCTTGTAAATCTCTCCCCTTCAAGCCTGTAGCAATGTCTATCGAATTTCGTGTCCTGCTTTTCCCATTATTCTGTGTTTTCATTGTCATTTTCCACTTTCAGTTTTCAATAGAGCTGTGATGGGAGATGTGTGCAGCTGAAACAATGTAAAACACCACTTCCTTTTTGCCTGCTGTAGTGCCTTTCCCACTCCCCTTGGCCTGTGCCTGCCAAGACTATATAGCAGTCAAAGGGTGTTGGCCTCTTCTTTGCTTCCAGTCTATGAACATGAAGGTAGAAAGCAAGAAATGGAATCTCAGACATTTTATTTGTGGATGTGATGGCTAATCCAGTCATCAACACTTTCACAGCTGTAAAGGCGGCGAAGTGAGGATACTTGATGCAGTCCAACAAATCTTTCAGTATGAGCAGTTGTAAGTATGCACTTGCCAAAACCTGCCACACTTCACATGCATTCCGTGAAGCAGTCTCTGGTTTGGGAAGAAAGAGCTGAGAAAAAGTGTGAACAAATTAGGTGTGCAGTTGTTCACACTTTCACCAGATTTGTAACAAAAGGGCAAAACTCTTTTGCTGTATCAGAATAACTTTGTGTTTCCCAGCATAAATCAGGGTCTGCTCTCTCAGCACTCACCATTACATTTTGCTTTAGTATCCTAAAAGTATTAAAAAATTTATCCTCAATGTTTCAATGAAGGAAAACATGTTCTGCAATATCTGCTTTAAAATGCAGAACACCAATTTTACTTTTACTGTTGTGCGTGTAGCATCTTTTCAGCCTAGCTGGCTGTCTTGTGCTAAAGCCTATGGGGAAATTGTTGCACATCAGGAAGGTGTGCATTGAGAAAAAACGTGCTATTTAGGACAATTACTGCATTTCCAGTTCTACAGTTTTGTAACTGCTACTTGGAATTATCCACTTTTTTAAAAAAAGGATTACAGAAGTAGGGGATGATGGCAAGCAATACTGCATAGGAGCTTTAGTGGTTTGACTAAATGGAATAACTCCATTTTACACTTGTGGATTTTGAAACAAACTGGGATTCTGCGTAACAGCTTGATTGGTGAATGGTTGTGCAAGAGGCATATCCATACTGCCTGTTAGGCCCACCAAGAGGCTGGATAATGGACCCACCTCCCAGGGAGAAACTTTGGTCTTGGCACTGGAGATTTCCATCTTTCAGGCTGATACTGCACTGCAAAGTGCAAAACACAGTCATGGAGAACCACAAGTTTTGCAGGTGAAATGTTGGGAGCCCTAGGGACAGCCATCCTGCTCTGAATGCTATCTCAGGGTTTCTCTTTAGGTTGGGGATGGAGAATGGAGGATTGTGAGCTTGTAATACTGAAACTTCTCAAATAGTGACACAGAAACTTTGTTCTTGGTTAGGGCAAGAGTGAGGGATGGGCAAGAGGCTCCTTTTGAACATCTTTTGCTCCTGGTGAGATGTAACACCATGCAAGTTCCCTTTGAGGGGATGGAGAAAATAATAAAAAATATTCTTTTTATATATTTTTTTATTTTATTTTTTGTGGGCAACACATGGTGCTTTGCGCCTGGCCACATCTCTTGGGACAGAAACATGTGTATGCATGTG